TATAAACTACTCATCTATACACAATGAAAGATATCTCAACCTATAAAGAATACTAAACTAGTATTTATAGACAACCTATAAAGAATACTAAACTAGTATTTATAGACAAGTTCAACACATAAGACCTTCAACATGAGAAATCTTTCATCTTCTCCAAGACATTCTATATTGAATAAGGGAAATCCTTCTGAATCAACCTTCCATGGAGAGCTTTGGACCCCAACAATAATAAAACAAATTATATAAAGAATAACAATAGAACAAAACGAATTTAAAAACCATATGGGTGTGAGATATCAATTTCTTTTTAAAATTGAATTGAAGTTGTGAATTTGAACAAACAATACCGACCATTGCTTTAATTTACTCTTGATAAAAAAGAAAATAATACTATTATACAATTATACAAATATGTAATTTTCGTTGACAAAAATAAAATAAATTTAATAATAATATTACGTGGGCAAAACATACGTATCCACAAATTCGTGACCCTCAACGGGCGAAGATAGGCTGCCGCCGTTCGAGCCCATCGTTTAAATACCCCGTTTTTTTTTTCTTTTCAATTCCCATTTAATGCAGATACAGAAGAAGACGGGGGTCGGAGAGCGGGAGAGAGCTCAGGGAGCCACAGGAAGGGGGGAAATAATGGCAATTCTCGTTATAAATCATGCCGGTAACACCCACTCTCCTCCTACAGCGGACCCCTTTTAGTCTCCGGCGACGTTAAATCGGAGGAGTAACACCAATTTATAATATTAATATACACACGCACCGAGGGCGAGAATGGGGATGTCGTGGGAAGACGCGGTATTGATTGAGGAAAGTAAGAATTCCGGCCACCCAACCGTAGTGACGGTGAACTGCCCGGACAAGGCCGGACTCGGATGCGACCTGTTAAGAATTGTCCTCGAATTCGGACTCTATGTTACCCGTGGAGGTCAGCAATATCTCCTCGATAAGTTCATCGATTCTATTCTAGTATTCTACTGCTATTTTCGTCGTTAGGTGTTAAGATCTAGGTTCCTATTCAAATTCAATGCTAAATTTCACATATACATATGAATCTTATAAGCTTAAGCCATAACTATTACGGATCGTACAAAATTAGGTGAAGGAGATGAAATATGCAATTACATAAATACACTTGATGTCGATGATAAATGTTTCATTTACTTTCTGCTACTAGATTTCTCTACCGATGGAAAATGGTGTTACGTAATTTTGTGGGTTGTCCCACGCCCAATCTCACTAAAAATCGATTGGGAGAGCTTGAAGAAACGTCTCGTATCTTGTTGTCCATCGTTTTTACCTGCATTTTACATCGATCAGTTCTCCGGTAGCTCAAAATCACCTCCACTGTACCTGTTGAAGGTTTTCTCCTTGGATCGAAAAGGGTTAATACATGGTTAGTACTTCAAATTTCAATCTATTTTCACCCTGCTTGAATCTTCACCATCTTCTCATCCAAATTCTAATCACTGTAGATGTCACAAAACTCCTATGCGAGCTTGAACTAACAATTCAACGATTGAAAGTGATGACAACACCAGATGGAAAAGTTGTGGATCTCTTTTTCATCACAGACAGCGTGTAAGTCCTTTTCTTCTTTTTGATTACAATGTACACTCATCAATATACCAAACTAATGTGTAATGATTCTCAATAGGAACTTATTGCACACAAAATTTGGACGTGAAGAAACATGTGAACACCTTAGTGTTGTGTTAGGAGAGTGTTGCATTAGCTGTGAACTTGAATTAGCAGGACCCGAATATGAATGTCAACAAGGGCTTTCTTCTATTCCTGAAACAATTGCAGAAAAATTGTTCAGTTGTGAGTTTTCATCTATGGAAGATGGTTCACAAGCTATTATCTCTGATACATCAAAAATCAAGAAAGCTAGTGTAGTAATTGATAATTTACTGAGCCCAGTTCATTCCTTGCTTCAAATCCAATGCCATGATCAAAAAGGCCTCATCTATGACATTTTAAGAATTTCCAAAGATTGTGGTATCCAGGTATATAATCATTTTGCTTCAATTTTACTAATCCATCATTTTTTATTCCATTCCAATTTTCCATAATAACTTTAAGTTCATATTCAGATTGCATATGGAAGAGTCTCTCCTAGTGTTAATGGAACTCGAAGTTTGGATTTATTTATCCAAAATGAAAATGGGAAAAAGATTGTTGATCATGAAAACCAAGTGGCTTTATGTTCTCGTTTAAAGGAGGAGATGTTACATCCATTAAGAGTCATCATCACCAACCGGGGCCCGGATACACAACTTTTGGTTGCTAATCCCGTTGAGATATCCGGGAAGGGAAGACCTCGTGTTGTATATGATGTCACTTTGGCATTAAAAACACTCGATATATGCATCTTCTCAGTAAGTAGTTTCAAACCTCATTTCCCTTACTTTCTGTATTAAGTCGTTCTTTCTGCATCAAGTCAAGAATCAAGGATAATCACTAAAATAACCAAAATAGTATGGTCCATTGAACAAATTGGCCACTTTTTTTTTTTTTTTTGAATGGTCTCCACTCTCCACCACAAAAAGAAACCTTAATGATTTATGATTGAGTCAATGTCTGAATGTCTGACCGAGTCAGACTAGCCTCTTATCAGAGGCTATAGGACCGAATCAAATACTTCTAATTGTGGTATCAAACAGTCTAAATATAACCGAGTCAGAGTCAGATGCAACCTCTTACCAGACCCAGTAAGAGGCATATCAAACAACCCCTGAAATATAGCTTATCAGATTAAATATGCTTTTGCATTGTTGTGTGTAGGCTGAGATTGGAAGACATTCGACATTAGATCGTGAGTGGGAAGTGTATAAATTCCTGTTGGATGAGAATCAAGGATTTCCTCTAACAAGTAAACAAGCCAAACAAAATATTGTTAATAAAGTTAGAAGAACCCTCATGGGATGGTAAAAATTAATGGTGTTTTGTTCGTAAATTAAGAACATTGTGGTAGCATGTTTACTAATTTTAGTGTTTTTTTTTGGTATTTAATTATTTATGTTAACAGTTGGTAGCAATAATAAGTATTTATGCTCTTGGAAGTATCAAGAACATTGTGTTGGTTCCATTTCAATGTACCAGATTTAGCAATTCTTGTTTTTATAGTCAAGTATCAAGATTCTATAGTTTTAAGTGGGATTTAGTTATGACTTGTTAAAGGAAATTGAAAAAGAAATTATAAGTTTATCACAATATGCATAAGGAAAGGAACACATTCTTAAAAGATGTTTATCATGTAATTTAAGCTTACAAAAAGACGTTCTTGTTTGATAAGATTTAAAAACTTCTTTAGAGATTTTGGAAGGTTTTCTCATGCTATTCAATTATCTATGTTGACAAACATTCATTTTGAGCTTATTTTGAATTAATTGGCATGATTGATGAATCGTTTGCAACTAATTAATTATAATGTTTTTAGGTATTTCATTAGTTGTTTTGGAAAAAATTTGCCAACTTACATGATATGCTAGTGAAACTTTTTTTTTAAAAAAAAAATAAAAAATAAAATTAAATCCTAGACTTCAAGATGTTGAATTGTGGTAACCCTAACCTGTCTATATTAAACAACAAATAAATTAGATACTAAGTATCCCCAATTAGGATTGGATAACTAACTGATTAACAATGAGCTTTTTTAGCAGCGAGAAATCATATCGAAAACCCCTACTGCCATTGTCAAACCTTAAACACAAATTGTTTTATCTCAAACTCTAAACATATCATTTTAGAATAAGTTGCATGTGTATGTTTTTTGTTTTTTCTATTTTTGATGTATGTGTTTCTCTCATCAAAAAACACTTTAAAATAGTGAAAATAATTCTTGATATGGTCTTGTGTTAAGTTCAATACAATTGGGGTTCAAACAATTCAATTGCAAACTTGACTTCCAACACAAACTATTTTATATTTAAGTATTTTGAAATTGAATTTTGTATTTTATGAGATTTTATCATATGCTTTGCATCCTGAATAAAAAAGATACACATAAAACTTAGAAAGAACATGTTGGTTCAAATAAGATAATTTAAGACGTTAGTGTGATTGATAATTGATCATTTGATCGAACTCTTTGATTGAATAGAATTGGATTATAAGTGTAGGGACTCAAATGTAAATTAATAAATGTTATGGACGACAATGCACATAACCCTTTTTAGTACATACTACCAGTCTACCAGTGAGCTCGTCAACTTCGATTATTATCCCCAATTCTTTCAAATATTAGGGTTTTCGCTTTCCACCTGGCCCTTCAATTTCAGTTGAAATTTACGTAATAAACGACAGATCAAGGTTAGTTCATGATCACCTCAACAACATGATTACAATATTATGTCACGCGTTTTTATTTGATAAAAACGTCTGTCACTGTGCCCACTCGTTCGTTCCCATTGATTTACTTGTGAGCTGAATATAAACCTTTGTTCTCGTTTTTTGAGTTGAACTTTTCAATATATTAACCCGTTAAATCAGAATAGATTTAGATTCTGATACCAATTTAACGTCAGCATCTCACTTAGCTTGCGTTATTTTTCTTTGTAAGATTTAATGCAGTCACTAATTTTTCTGAGACTCGTAAAGATTGCTTGCCTTTTCTGAACTGGAAAATAGTCGATTAAACCTGAAATAAGAAATTTACCTCCTGATTTAAATGATGCGAGCATTTGGTTTACTGATCTAATTGCATTCTCTTTGAGGGAAGAAAATTTCTGCAAAAAGTGTGTTGTCTTAGAGATCTAGATCACCATCTTCCTCTTTTTAGCACTTACATCTCTTACTTGAATTACAATTTACAACAAACTGTTTTTGTGTTAGCCTATCCAGATCCATTTTGAGAACCAACTTCTTAGTTGATTTCTGATTTGATGATTACTCGCTGCTTGTATTCTCCTCTGCTATATTATAGTTTTCTGAACATTTTACATTTGACTACTTTTGGTGCCCAGTGTCCAATATGGAGCCGAGACAGATGCAGAAGTCCTGGTTTATCCAAGCGGTTCAGAAGCAGAGGCGAATCTTCATACCATGATACACCTAATTTTTGTCTGAACGGTTTGAATATTTCACCTTGTTCTCTCGTTCTTTCTAAAATTCAGTCATGGTGAAATCCAAGAAGGCATCTTCTCCCCATTCCGCAGTAACCTCAATGCCTTCTTCCCAAGAAGTTGCACTTCGTGTGGCTTCTTGCAATCTTCGGGCAGACCTTGGCCTGGAGAAGTTTGACCCTACTCTTCATATAATGATTGAGTTTCTAAAGAGCCATCCTATTCATAAACCCTTGACTAAATCAGTCAAGTTTCCTTTAAGCATCATTCATATGGCATACTGCACTGCTGTTTATAACTCTAAGGAAGATTACATTGAGTTCAACATCAATAAAGATCACACTACCAAACTCTGTAAGGTTGAGTTCCTGAAAGCCATTGGCCTTCCAGAGAGCACGGAAAAAAGGACCTTATATGAACCCACAAATGAAGAACTGTTCGATGTATTTGATCAAATGGGGTATTTACCTCCAAGGCTTGAAATGACCCCAAACTTCAAGAAAGGTAAGCTTCCAGCCATGTGGCAATTTCTGGGGCACATCATTCTGCGGTGCCTTACAGGAAAGACTGGAGGAACTGACACGCTAAGTAGGGCTTTACTTGTCTTTCTTTTTGGTCTTTACACCGGGAAAGAAGTGGACTTTGGAACCACTATCTGGAAGGATTTTGCTAGTTATGTGTTTCCAAAGAAGAAGGATATTCCTTGTGCAAGGTTTTGGGCACTCGCACTTCAAAGGGGGTATAAGAAGCTGAAGTTCCCATTACCTGAAGGAGACGAGATGTTCTCTCCTCGCGCCTTATTGAGGTATTCTATCCCAGATCAATCTGAATTTGGGAAGGTTGCTCGTCTCCCCGAAGCAATGCTTCAATATATTGAAAAGAACTCCAAAGTTCTCATCAGACATATAGAGGAAACGGTTCCTCCACAACTGGGACACCCTATTAAATCCTCACAACCAGTCAGGCCCACCGAGGGACATACTTCTAGTCCTACAAAACAAAAGAAAAATGGCGTGAAGGTAAAGAAGACAACCAAAAGAAAAGGTGAGACCATTCCTGCCCCTCAAGCCAAAAGAAAACCCCCAAAATCCATCCCAACCTCTCAAAAGGTGAAGGATGTTGAAAAAAGATCTACCGTTGGATCACAATCTCCCATCTCTTCATCCTCTCAAGAATATTGGGATATAACACATACACAACCCCCTTCCTCTCAAAAGGAAGATGGGGGTGTTGAAAAAAGTCAAGATCAGCCCCCAGGGACACACTCACATATCAAAGATCAAGGACCCCAAGGAAGACCAACACACCGATCCTTGCAAACAGGGGGCTTTGGAGCTTCTAATGGTGAGGCAGAGGTGAGAACATCAGAGAATGAGAGTGTAAGGCAAACAAGAGAGCAGAGTGAAAGAAGAATGTTAAGAAAGGCCGAGGCAAAGAAAGAAGAGGAGCGAAAGGAATTAGTGAGAATGTTGTGGGAAGAGCAACAAAAGAGGGAAGAGGAAGAGTGGGCCCGGACTTCGGCCAAACTTCTTGAGCAGGCCATGTCTTTGGGCCCCTCTACAAATATTGGTGAGGAATATGCTGAAGACATGGAAGAGGACTTAATGTTCACTATTGATGATGGACTCATCCAAGACTCTGAATCACCATCCATCACGGAGCCAGTCAAACCTTGTAACTCTAAAGTATTCTTGGGAACTTCAGAAACAGAAAGTGAACATATTAAGGATGTCCCCAAAGGAGAGACCAACACTCTTCCTACCACCACTGTGGGGACATCCACACCTTGCAGACGAACTAAATGGAAGAAGAAGAAGTCCAAATCTATCTCCAGGGTGGGATATAATTCCCTCAACCAGAAGCTATCTGAGGTTCTAGAGGCTGTGAAGAATATCCCTCAATCTGAGGAGGAATTTATCAGCAAGGAAGAGTTTGGGGAAATGCAAAAGATTGTCACATCTTTAGCCCAGAGCGTTCCTATTCTTGAGGCAAGGGAAGAGACCCTTTGGGAATCAATTATAAACTCTACTGCGGACGCTTTGAGGGAGATAGAGCAGAAGAGGACTGCTGACACATTTAAATATTTAGATCTAATGGATGAGATGGAGAAAATGGTGAAGGAAATTCAACAGTCGTATGATGACCTCAGCAACACCATGGGCCTCCAACATGGACATGTGATTGTCCGTATAAGTGAGCAGCTCTGCGACTATCGCAACAAAAATATAATTCTTCAGGCTGTTTTGGTTAAAGTAATGCAGTCTGCACAGCAACTGCCAAGACCCTGCAACGTAAGATTTGATGAAGTCCTCTTTGCCATGCAGAAAGTTCAAAGTTCTGTGGATGTACTTCCAAAGACTCTATGCAATGATGAGCTAAGCAAACAGGTTCAACAATCGTTCTTAAAAGTGTTTGAGCTTATAGATGACTTAAAAGGTTCAAGGGTAGAGGATGAAGCTGGATTTTCCTCAACAAAATGGGGAGAAGATAATAACGTGGTGATAACAGAAACTTCTGAGGAAACACATCCTCCTCCTCCTCCTCAAGCAGATGAGGTATCCAAACCTCAACCACCTTCAAAGATCTCAATTCCTCCCATTTCATTTATCATTCCTCCTGCCCAAATAGCTCCGGAGTTTATTGAAACCACCAAAATTCCCCTCACAGATAAAGTCAAAATGCCTTTTGAGGTTCCTGAAATGAGTCTTTTGAAGACCTTTCCGGTGTCCAAGGAAGGGAAGAAGCAAACGGAGTTGGAACATGAACTCCTTGCCAAGCAGATACATGAGGATCAGCAACACGCTTTATCTCCTTTGGTCTATGTTATCAGACAGTTAAGGGTTGATGAACTTGTGCCCAAACAAACTACA